CATTTAGTTGTTAGGACAACACGGGGAAAGACACAACTTCTAATTTCAGGGTCTGCTGTCCGTGTTGGAGCAAAGATTGACTATGAAAGGCCAGATGATTTGAAAACAATAGGGCATGTTACTGAAACTGAGTCCTAGTAGTATGGCTCATTTTTATTGTAGCTGTAATATATGTCTTCCCGTACATATATTAATTCAGCACACTTTATTGTGATGATTGCTACAAAAGCTGGGTTTCTAGATTCTACATTTTGAATAACCTTTTAATAAATATTTTAGCTTTCTAGAGTACTGCAGCTAAAGAAAACTAATATATATGTAGGCATTTTGCATTTAACAAAAAAATACAATAATTTTTATTCATTTTTATCTTTTTTAAGCATAAACTGGCTATTGGAAAAAAATACATTTACTTGAGGAGCAGGATGGGAAGTTGAGCAGAGGGACTGACAATTTTTCAGTAAAAGATTTAGCTGAGGAGTGATACTTTTGCTTGGATATATTTTAAATTTATTCATTCTCAAAGCCACTTCCTTATTAAAAAGTCATTACAGTACTCAATTAGCATTTTGAGGAATTATATAATGCACAGCCTATAATGTGAATAGGTCCCACCCCAAATGCCCCTTTAATCAACCATATATGTTTATAAATTAAATCTTCTCAGTGGCTACAGATTGCATCCTAATCTCATTCATGTATTCATATGTGTGTATATTCATATATGTACTGTCCTCATATATATGAAAATATGAGTAGAAGTGAGTAAGGTTAGGATGCAATCTCTAACCACTGAAAAGATTTCATTTACTATCAAGAAACTCAGAGCCATTAAGTGGATTCTTACTAGTAATGACCCTCTATACTCTATAGGGTTTCCGAGACCTTAAATCTTTATGGGAGCAGCGATCCTCATCTTCCTGCAGAGGTGCCTGGTAGGTTTAAACCACTGACCTTTCAGTTACCAGCACTACCAGGGTTCCTTTTTGTCCAGGATTACTGTCTTCTTTTTCATTTTAAGAGTATACCTAGTATTCCTGTTTCTTTGCATCCCCATATTTCTATAGGTAAATACTAAAAGCAGCAACTTTTTCTGCACAGTTGCTACTTTGAGACAGGAAAATGGTCATGTTCTGATTTTATATAGAAGCTTTGTTGACACATTAGTTGAATATTAAGCAACTGTTTATGAGAAATAGATACATGGGGTCAAAATCTTCGTTTTACTTTCCAAAAATGATAATCATTTGGTGTCAAGAGAAGACGTATGGCCCTTTGATTTTACTTTGAAGATTTAAGATGTCTTATTGTTGTGGTGAAGCATTGGGCTGCTAACTGTAAGGCCAGCAGTTTGAAAGGACCAGCCACACCACAGGAGAAAGAGATGTGGCTTTCAACCTCTACTAAGAAACAGTCCCAGAAACCCACAGGAGTTTTCAATTACTAATTTCACTTGAAATATGTGTAATTGGAAAATAACTCAAGTTAAGTTGATTGGATCGTAGTTCTGATATGTCTGTTCAGTGCGTTTAGAAATGGGAGTTAATGCTAGAAGTCCTGTCTGTAAGATGCTGGGCTATACAGTTGGAGCACCATCCAACCTCATTGGTCTGTTATCATAAAATGATTTTTGTAAAGGCGGAGCTGAAGAACCAGGGAGGAAGACGGACATAACTGACAGGACAAGGGGAGCAGAAGCAGAAATAGCTTTATTAGGGGTTAGGGGAGCTCCCGGACGAGGTTCCATGACCTAGGCCAACAGGTCAGGGAAGTCGTAGTCAGCAGCTGGGGGAGAGGGTTTTTAAAGGGGTCTGGAAACTGGGAGAATTGCTTGTCAACTCCTGGAGGCTTTCTTTGAACCTGGAACATCTGGTTTCACCGGTTATCTTCTCTGGTGCCAGCTGCTGCTGACCTTTGGGATGTGCAGGGAAGCACGTGCAGGGCCCGTACCTGCTTCAGCTTAGTCCAAACAGGGGCTGCGTAGTTCAGACCCAGCCCCAAAAATTTTGATCTAGAAAAACTAGGTAAATTTATTGAAGTCAGTATTTACAAATCAGTGTCTAGTAGTCCCACATACAGCCAATTTTTACAGTTCATTCTTACTTCTTTGTTTACTCCTTTATATCTTTCCTACTACCTCCCGAGACATGCGTTTACACTGCCCTACCTTGAGGACACTGTCTTTACAAGCTGTCTTGTCCACGTAGCATGCTTCCCTCTTGGCCACTCATGTATCTTTTGCATCCAGTTTTGAGAATGGTACTCTCTTACTCCCATCTGATTTAGAATGCTAACGAATTTGCATAGATGCATTCCTTTGTGAGGCAAGAGATTGGCAGTAGAAAACCTGAAAAGGTTTAGTCTTGGTTATAATGTGAGGAACCATCAACTTGTTTAGGGACTAGTTTGAAATTAGATTAAAAGCAGCCTTAGCAAGCTAGGGAAAGGGGATAGTTGGATTAACTAATCTTGGTTTGGTGCCAAACTGAGAAAGGACAGCACTGTCACAGCCTTTGTATGCATTTAAAATTCTTATTCTATAAGTGTAATACTAAATCAGAATCTCCATGACTGAAATTATTTATATACAGACACACTCAAATATGTGTTGCTAGTTTAGAAAACACCACCGATACAGTCGTCATCTGATAAAGGCTGGTCCACTCTTGCAAAGATTTTGTAGTCTTAGAGCCCAAAGGGACAGTTCTACAGTGTCTTAAAAAGTCACTGTGACTCCGAGTTGACTTCATAGCAATGAGTTCGAGGTTTTTTATTTTGACCAAAACAAAAAAAACATTTATCTGCCTTCACTGCTGGACAGATAAATGCAAAGTTTCCCTACTCTAAATATCACAGCCCTAGAATAGCACTTTGAAATATAATTTAAAAATTAAGCTTTATCTAAGGAATCCTATAGGCATAGTGGTTGGGCGCTCAGTTTGAACTAAGGTCAGCAGTTCAAACTTACCAGCCACTCTACTGGAGAAAGATTTGGCAGTCTGCTTTCATAAAAATTTACATCTTTGGAAACCCTATGGGGCAGTTCTGCTCTGTCCTATAGGGTTATTATGAGTCATACTTGACGTGATGGCAGTAGGTTTATGTAGTAAAGGCATGGTACAAACATTCCCCAGTTTATAAACTTCCAATTTGATGTGTACAGCCTGTGGTTATGAACCAACTGTCATGAATGTGGTTGTATTAAAATTTTGAGGTACATACAATAGATTATAATAAATGGGTATTACTTTGTAGCATAGATGAAAAATTATCATTATCACTGTTATATTGATGATGTAATGGTTACACATTCAGCTATGATCTGCAAAACCAGCAGTTAGAACCACCATCCACTCCTCAGAAAAAAACAGTTACAGTCTCAGAAACAATGGGGCAGTTCTACTTTGTCCTGTAGGGTTCTTATGAGTCACCATTGACTCAGTGGCAGTGAGTTTGGTTTTTTGGTTTTTATGTTAGTGTATCTGGAAGTGCTTCTCTAAGTTATTATGCATAGAAAGGTGCATTATATACTTAGATAAACATTTGCCTAGCTAGTGTTAGATACAAACCAATTTACATAAAAAATTGACTTATGGACAGATGTAGGAATGGAACTCATTTGTAATTCGAGGACTGCCTGTACACCATAGCAAGTAAGGCAAATTCCATAATGAAAGGAGAGTTCAGTATTGGAAGATGTATTATATATTCATTCACTGTATCACTGAATCTCAACCATATATCTTTCCTTTTTAACAAGTGCTTTCTACTTCTTGATAGTCAAAAAATGGAGTCCATAGGTAATATAATCTACAGAACTGTAAAGTATGTCTTCAAAGCGTACTTAAAGAGCGTGGCACAGTTCACTTCTTCAGAAGGAAATGATTTTTTACAAATGATTTTAGGACAATGTGTTAGTTACAGTATTTAGGATCAGAGATATATTTGTTTATGTACTACACATATACTGAAAGAATTACATATGCATAAAATTAGATATAAAAAAGCTTTTCACAAAGAAAAAATGCAATATCAGATTTTTGGAAAGGGCCAACTTTACATCTTTAGGACAAAAAATTGGAGGCAATTACAAGTGGAAAGACCAATGCACGTAATCAATAACTTTGATGTTGCTAGATGCCACTGGGTCCAACTCAGAGATCCCAGGTGCAGCAGAATGAAGCACTGCCCATTCCTGCGCCACCTTCACAATTGTCATGTGTGAGCCTGTTGTTATAGCCATGGTGTCGGTTGTTTTCATGTGTGAGCCTATTGCTACAGCCATGCTATCAGTCCGTCGGTTTTAAGGGAGCTTCAGAAATGTCATTCTTCAGGGACTGGTCTCTCCTTCTAATTTAAGCACAGGCAAATAAATGGTCAAATTGAGATATTTCATAGACAAAGATTAAGGTTAACCAGTGGTTGCCAGTGTTGGGAGGCAAGCAGGAATAATTGTAAGGTAGCATATAGAGTTTTTTGTTTGTGGAGATGGAAAATTTGGCAGTAGGTACTGGTGATAGTTGTACAGCATGATTAGTGTAATTGGGTCTGTTGAATTATACACATGAAATGTTGAATTGGCAAATTGTTACTGTATTTTTACATTTTTAATAGTAGATATAGCACACAGCAGTGAACTATTAATTTAGACATTTAAAAAATATTATTCTGATGTGAATAATTACATGTACACAGGTAACTTTGTATGCATTTCAAATTTTTTAATATTGAAGGGGTTATATGCACTGGGCTGCAAATCTCAAAGTCAGCAGTTTGAAACCACCAGCTCCTCTTCAGGAGAATGATGAGGCTTTATACTCCCAGGGAAAACTCACAGTCTCGGAAACTCACAGTTCCAGCCTGTCTGTGACGTCACTGTGAGTCGACATTGACTTGATGGCAGTGAACTTGATAATGTTCTGTGTTAGATTAAATTATCATTAAGATCCCTTATGCTTCTGAGTGTTGTGGTTCTTTCTCTACAGTCTTTGTCTCTCTCTTTGGAGGTCATGAAACGAGTACGTACAGAGCAGATTCAGATGGCAGTGTCCGGCTACCTCAAACGCCGACAATACATGGATTCAGAAGGTCCCCTAAAACAAGGATTGCGACTGTCACAGACTGCTGAAGAGATGGCAGCTAATCTCACAGGTAATGGTGGGGAGGGGTGTCCTCCTCCTGTGGTGTGAGAAAAGCTCAAGTAATGTGTCTGTGGGACAACGACTTCTTCTCGAGGTAGCACTGGAAAAGCAGACTGTCTAAAAATCTGAGCGAGCAGCATCAAGTGCATGATGAGACATGAGCTGTCCTTCAAAACCATGCTCAAATCCCAGTCCTGAAAATCTACTTTCATTCTTCGAGCTAAAAATAATACTTTCTTCCTCAGAACACCTAAATTATTTTATCTGTACCTGGTGTTAACATCAACTTTCCCTCCTGTGAGCTATTCTCTCATAAGACCCTTGGGGACATGGAAATTAGTTGTTAGATGAGTTCTCCAAACAACTTGGAATACGGATGCATCTGGAGGGCATTGTGTTGAGTAAAATAAGTCAGTCGCACCAAAAAGAATTATATATGTTTGTTCTAAGTTTTATAAAAGGACATGAGCAAGTAAACATACAAAACCTCATGTTCATTTGTAATTACTAGAGGTAGGGATGGAGAGGGAGCTATTCCCTTGGGGTGTGTGTGTGTGTGTGTGTGTGTGTGTGTGTGTATGTGTGTGTGTTTTGAGAGCAGCAACACTGAATGAGGGTGTATGCAACTTGGCAAAAGTAAAAGATGTCACTAAACTCTACACAAGATAAAAGACAATATTGACTATTGCTTTGGCATAGATAATTTTTAAATAACAGCAAAAACAAAAAATATATGTGTAAGTGTGTATGTATGTAGGTGGCATATATATGTGAGTGGGTGTGTATTGGTTTATACATATGTAATATGCATCGATGTAATATGTACCCATATATCCATATATATATATTCCAAAAAAACAAACTGCCATCAAGTCAATTCCAATTCATGATGACCTTATAGAACAGAGTCGAACTGCCCCTGTGAGTTTCTGAGACTATAACTCTTTACAGGAATAGAAAGCCTCATCCTCTCTCATGTAACAACTGGTAGTTTTGAAATACTAACTTAAGGCTCGCAATCCAACTAAGGTGCTTCAAAAGTTCTTGAAATTTTTTCATTATCTTTTAATTCCATTTTACCACAAACTTTTTTCTGGTGACACATAGGGGGCACAATTAATAATACTTCTTAAACATAATCAAGCACCTCATGGGATTGTATTTCTCATGGCACATTTTGGCCAACTAGTATCATTGTAGTTCATAAAGTTATTTTCTTTTTTTTTGTTTATAAACCATTTTATTGGGGGCATAAAGTTATTTTCTATATCCTACTTTAATGAGTAGTATCTGGGGTCTTCGAAAAACTTGGGTGCTGCCAACCAATATACAACTTTTCTTGTCTGGAGCAAACGGGAAAGAGGGAAACCAAAAACTCAAAGACGAAACTTGGCTTCAGGACAGACGGTCTGTAAGAACCAATGCCTTCTCAACGCGCGGGCCCTGGGAGATGAGGGGATGTGGAACATCAACCTCAAAATTTCTAGTTAAAAATTATTTCCAATCAAATTGAAATAATAAAAATTGTGAGGAAAGTAACCAATGCCCCTGAAAAGCGTGTACAGAAATTGTTGATTGGGAACCTAAACTGCTGTGTAGACCTTCACCAAACGTACTCTAAATTGTTATTTTAAAAAAGAAGAATAAAGAAAGCAATTTGAGGGGACACAGAGGCATAAGACAAATTCAAAAACAGCTTCACGAATATTCTTGAAACAAGAATGGCATTTTTCAGAAGAGAAGAGCACCTAGAGAACAACCTAAGACATGCACAAGCACATTCCAGCGGAGCGGAAATCAGAACAAGGGCTACGCTAAGCCTCCCGAGAGAGCGAAAGATTGGTGAAAGCTCCATCTCACTGTCAGCAAGTTGGTGCCGACTCTCGTGACCCTACAGGACAGCGTAGACCTGCCCTTGTGGGTGTCTGAGACTGTAACTGGGTGTGGGATGGAAAGCCCCGTCTTTCTCCTGTATAGAGGTGATGATTTTGAACTGCTGGCCTGCAGTTAGCAGCCCCTCTTATAACCACTACACCACCAGGGCCCCTAGATGAAAGCTAGGAGTTGAAATTAAAGTTCAGAAGATCTACTCTTAAAATCAGAAAAGCCCCAGAAAGGAAAAATAGAAGAGAATCAAAAGCCCCAGAAAGAAAAAATAGAAGAGAATCAACAAAGTGATTCAAGAAGTAATTGAAAATCCACATTAAAGGGCCCCCAGAGTAGCCAGCCAATGAATGTAAATGGACCCACACCGGGGTACATTTTGTGAGGTGTCACAACACTGATGTCAGAGGTTTACAGATAGGTTTCTCATGAATGATCATTATACTTACCTGTTCTCATTTAGTTTGCTTGTCCTTATGGTTTCTCTATAGATAATCATGTTTTGGTGTGTGGGGGGCCAGAATATGTAAATACGCATCTCAGTGTATCATAATAACCAGAAGCCCCAGCATACTTTCCAAAATCTACTGAAATCAGTTGCAATTGATGCGTCCTCAGCACCCTCCTTTACCATACTCCATGGTGCCACATTTTAAGTTATTAATAGTTTATCATCTCCCCACTTTTGTGCATCTTTTGCCCCTAGTCCAGTCAGAATCTGGTTGTGCCAACATCGTGTCTGCAGCCCCCTGCCAGGCAGAGCCCCAGCAATATGAAGTACAGTTTGGACGACTACGGAGTTTTCTCACTGGTAAGTATTTGGTGTTAGAACCTTTTCTTATTAAGAAAGATTAATGCAAATTTCCCTCAATCTGTAATGTACCAAACGTGCTATGTTCTAGCATCGAACAGGCAATTTACCACAGTCCTTGCATTAAGAACATAGTGTCTGGTGGAATTCTTGAGACATTTAAATCACAAGGTTAACCTCTACAAAGAAAAGGGCTCTGGATAGTTCATTCATTGTTTTATGCATGAGACCAACACAGAACTAACATATAGATACTCAGTAAACTTGTACTCAATAAAACAAACCAAAAAAAGCCCCACTGCCATTGAGTCAGTTCCAACTCCTATCACCCTACATCGGGTTCCTAAACCAAATCTTTATCATCTCCCCACTTTTGTGCATCTTTTGCCCCCAGTCCAGATGAGCAGGCGGCTTCATCTTTCTTCCAAAAAGCGGCTAGTGGGTTTGAACCGCTAACCTTGCAATTAGCAACCCAGTGCTTACGCCACAGTGCTACCAGGGATTCTAAACTACATACCAAACTCACTGCCTTCAAGTTGTAGCCAACTCATAGCAACCCTATACACCCTGATGGCATAGCGGTTACCTGTTGGACTGCAAATTGCAAAGTCAGAAGTTCGAAACCACCAGTCACTCCAAGGAAGAAAGAAGGGGCTTTCTACTCCTGTAAAGAGTTACGGTCTTGGAAAACCAAGGGGCAGTTCTACCTTGCCCTATAGCATTGCTCTAAGTAGCATAAAATAACTCTTTACGTGGGTAGAAAGTCCCATCTCTCTCCTGAGGAGTGGCTGGTGGTTTTGAAATGTGGACCTTTTGTAGCACAGCCCAACTCCTAACCACTATGCCATCACCCAGGTAGAGAAACATTCTTAAATGCAGGACTTCTGAAATATCTCTTATACTATAACCAAACTCACTGCCATCAAGTGGATAATCAACTCATAGCCCCTGTAGGACAGAATAGAAAGCTTTGTCTTTATCTTATGTATAGCTGCTGGTTTTGAATTGCTGATTTTGCAGTTAGCAGACCAACATGTCAACAGGGCTCCTGACTATTATACATCTTAAAGTAGTCTTTTCTTCTTATTCCTAAAGTGCAAGAAAATCGTCCTATGAATCAGCAAGATAAAACATCTAAGATGAAAATATTAGAAATTATTGTTTAGGTAAGGGCATGGGTAGTAGACTGACTTATAACATACAAAATAAATATATAAAGGTAAGGGGGAAAATTATGCTACTGGGATTCTAGATTGTGCATGCATAGGTTTATTCTAAACAAAATGTTTAAACCTGTCTGCAGTTAGTGGGTGACTAAAGACGAATTCTGTATTTTTAAATTCCATTTCCCTATAAACTTTTGAAGCTTCATCATATACTTACCTTAGTTGTTGAGATTCCTTCAAAGAAAAAAATCCAGTCAAATAGTGGTGTCTTCAGGGTTATGCTTTGCCAGTAAAACAAGGCAAAAAGATTAGCTTAAAACATTATAGTGACTATTTTGAAGGATCCCAAATAAGTCATTTAATAATGGCCCAATTGCAGGGGATTTTTAGAAGAACTTTTAAGGAAATTAAAAAACAACATTTGGTAAGAGAAAGCCCAGGCAAGTTTGACCAAGGAAATTTTTCTATCATGGCATTACACTTGCTCGTTATTTGAGGGAAATTAGGGCTGTCTTATGGTAATTTCGTTGGTAAACCTTACCTTAGCCACTCTGTAGCTCTGACCTTCACCTTCAACTTCCTTTTGTTTTCTAAACTCAGAATATTTAAGAGAAACATGATTTGTGTGCTTGAAAGATGCAATATTGCTATTTTGATGTGTAAATTGAAGAATAGAATTTTTTTTTTTT